ACTCCCACTAAAATAAAGCTTCCTATCACTGACCTGTTCAAACTCGTGATATGCGTCCAATCGGCACATCTTGCACTGTATCCTAACAAATTGACCAAAGTCCGGAGGGCTAAGTTAACTTTTCAGGGGTGATAAATTTTGGAAGTATGGGCCCACTCCTGGATCGTTGGTTTTGAAAATCATTTTGTTTTTCCAAAAAGGTGGTGTTCTGACCAACTTGTGCACACCACGATTGTCTTTACCAGGTATTTGCTATTTCCATTAGCACAGATACACAGTCACTTTGCGCACTAAGGAAAATGAGAAGAATTCACTCTTCATCGCTTCTACTGGGATTGTGTCCTAAGGATGTTACTCCAACGCTTCAACCTCTAGGCCTCCCCCTTAGGAGCCTTTGCTTTTCTAATCATTTTTATTCTTTTACGTGGAAAGAAATTCTTAATCAACTATATATTTGCATTTTCATCAATTAGTGAAAGATTCTTATTAAAACAAATCATTGGCAGTTGATTAGATGATTAAGATTTAATGATCACGCGAACTTTAGACTAACTAAAGGGAGGTTTGTGCAATGTACCTTTGAACTATTTTAAATTGGAGACGTCACCCTTAAAAGTTGACAATTTAAAGGACAACGTAAGTACCGTAGCAAAAGTAAAAGCAAAATAAGAAATAGCATAGAAGATGAAGTATTCTGCATGGCACAGATACCCTTCCAAACGCATCAGACTGAAGTCCGAGATACAGCTCATACTTTTAGTAATAAAGAATGAAACTTTCACTTGGAAATGGCAGGAATAAGGAAGTAATCTATACCAAAACTACATTAAATTATTACTGAAAATAAAAACATATACCTCTTTGGAAACTTCTTCTGCCTCCTTTGAAGATCTTGCATAGTTCACTAGGACCTGCCAACAACATTAAACTTTATACTGAAGCAGGCTGGTGGAGTATTCAAGAAATATATAAATTGATCAATATTAATGCCTGTCTATCCACCTATATGTCAGGCCTAAGAATGATTGACAATTTCCAAAGAAATTGAATCTAAGCAGTCCACATTTTTTGAATGCCTGACAACTTCACGTCATAAATTAAGCTAAAATGTCTCACTAAATATACTAGAGAGATAAGCAGGAGAAAAAGTACTCAAACAAGAGGGTAAAAGGTAACCTTGAGTCCCTGACCAACCATCTGAAGGCGAGAGAGACACCTGCTTCCTTTCTACTTTGGGACAGAAAATACTTATTCTCCTTCTTGATGGCAATGATTGACACCCAACAGCAATTTAGATTATTTCTCACACTTGATATGACATCTTTCGACCAACTAATTTACTTTTTGCATATCTCGAACTACTCTTTTGAAGTCTACTCAATAAAATGATTTATTTAAACATTTTACTCTAAGACAATGCACAGAGCAAAGAAGGTCATTGTTACTGGACAAAGAGAGTATTTCTGCAGGGGATCTAGGATTTGAATTTTATGGATTTGAGTTCGGGATTTTACCACAACTCATTTGATTTAGTGAAGCTACTAGGTTTGGATGAACCCAAACCTTGCAATCTACATCCACCCCAGACTTCCCTTGCACAACTTGAGCGACTACAATAGTGCCTTAAAGCAGATGCTATGTTACAGTGAAACTGCAGGGTTTCCAACTGACCATCCATATTGACGAATACAATAGCGTACAAATGAAAGAGTAAATCCAGATAAATTCCAGTGAAAAAGCTATCAAGGCAGAATAAGGTTTTTGTTTTTTCTGGCAGTTAACAGTTCCATGTAAATTAGTTAAAATTCGAAGGCAAAGAATCCAAAAACCAAAGAGTTTCAGCATCTATAGAAAATGGAATACAAATGCAGACCTTACAACCAGCCTTTCCCAAAGACAATGCAATAGCCTTCCCGATTCCTCTAGAAGCTCCCGTGACAATAACGACGGGAGCTTCAATTTTCGCAGCAGCTTCAACTCCAGCTTGTTCAGTTGTTGCCACCTGAGCTCTCACGCCTGATCACATCACAGTCCCATTATCCATCTATACAACACATCATAAACAGAGGAACATATACAAAAACACGCAAAAAAAAAAAAAAAGAGCACATAAAATGAGGTCGTGTCGTGCAAGGGGAATCCAAAAAGTATACATATACATTTTAAAAAAATTGCATACAGGATTTAGAGTCACTAGCTTCATAGTGAGTATGTCTATTATATACAAATACGAGCACACACACACACACTCTCTCTCTCTCTCTCTCTCTCTCTCTCTCTCTCTCTCTCTCTCTCTTGCAAAATGTTATGCAGTAAGCTGAGAAGGATAAGATTTAGATCCGTCTGTACCAGGTAGGAAGTGATACCTGAAGAGGCGGAAGAAGAGGAAGAGAACCAGCGGCATTGCAAGGAAGGTGATGGCTGAAGAGGGGAAGACGGAAGACGGAGATGCGTAAGCTGGCGGCGGATGGAGGAGCTTCCGACGGCGGCGGCGGAGGAGTGGAATTTGGAGGTGGTTGCGACGGAATTAAAGGCGAGAGAAGCCATTGAACGGAGTAAAGTGGCCAGATGTGAAGGGAAGATGGATCGCTGGTTGGAGTTGGAGAGAAGCGTATGTTAATTTATTGTAATTGTTCCGATGAAATCAAGGAGACTCCTAAGTCGTTGGTCGTTTCAAACAAGAGGAAATATATGCGGGACACAAAATGGTGAAATGATTACTCCACTTGTTAATTTACTGTTAGCATTAGGTAAACTTTACCGATTAGGTAAAGTTATGGCGACTTTGGTTTGACCTTTGCTACTCGGTGAGAGTATGGCATTAACAACTTGTTTGGAGGATTGTTACCAAAGTTTTAAGATTGTATTGTATTTTATCGTTTTATAAATACTTCATTTGTTTCAATTCACTTAAATTTATCTTTATTTAGTCAGTTTCAAAAAGAATGATCACTTTACTTATTTGGAAATAATTTACCTTTATGTAATTATTTATAGCCACACAAAATATAGATGTCTCATTTTACACCACAAGTTCAAAAGTTTCTATCTTTTCTTAAATTTCGTGCTCAATCAAATGGGTTCACATAAATTAAAACGAAGGGAGTATAATATTTTGATAAATTGTATTGTTTGTTGTTGTTAAATAATATTTCGCTACTATAACTCATAAGTTTACTAAAATACCCTCAATTATTTAAATATTAAATTTATCAAGAATTACACATAAAAATAATTTAAGAAAATCCCTTTCTACTAATTTATCATCAAATATGTCTTATAAATAGATTAAGCAATTAAATTCATGCAAATTCTAACAAAATTAGTGGAACAAAATTAGCAATTTTACGTTGAAGTTGGAAGCGACAGAAGTTCTGCAAAAAAAGGGACGAAGACAAAGTAGGTTATAGGTGGGAGATTTGGAGTTAAAATATAAAAAAAGATAAAGGGTAAAATAGAATTATGGAGTAATAAGTTAGGGTATAATTGGAAAGAAAAATAGGAAACAATCCCACAACACCAAATCGGTTGTTTGAAAAAATGGGACTTTTCATTGTTCCGGAACAATAGATTTAACAATACAATACAACCAATTTTAATGAAACAATCAAAACAAATATTGTATATGATACAATACAATACGATACAACCATCCAAACAAGCTGTAAAGCAAATCCAAAGCTGTAAATTTTGGAGGTCTTTTTATATTGGATATCAAAATCGAAAGACGAATTTAAAGCCAAATTTTAAACTTAAGGGGCAATTTATATTAAAAACGTATAAATCATACTATGTAATACTTTAAACTTGAAGTAGCCAATCAGATGATTTATGATTATTTGGAGGGATAATGGATTATTTGAAGAAGTGAATTGATTTGAGTTCCCCTAGTTACAACTTTATCCCGCAAGTACTTCCTTAACTTGTGGAATGAGTTCTTAAATGGTAGATTTCATATCACGGTGAATTTTTCTTTTTCCTTTTTCTCTTCAAATAGTTATAAATACAAATATCTTATGGCCTCAATCTATTTTTAACTTCAAATCCATACAAAAATGGCAAAAACATTAAAAACTATTCATCAAAAGGAAAACGATTTTTCATCGCGGCCGGTCGGCGACAAGACACCGGCGGAGATACGCCCCGAGGAGTGTGTTCCCGGGGGTGTGTCCTCACTTCCGATTTTAAGATCGATAAAGCCTCGTCGATTCCCGGTCGATGCGAGCCAGTGTCGATGTATATATGCTCGATAACTGAGGGATACCTTATGCAGGTAAAGAAAGATTGCAACTGGGAGGGCAAAGAGGTGGTGATCCCGACCCCCGAAGAGGATATCACCACCCATGTGGAAGGGTTTCTAAGTGTTTACACTTACCCTTTCACGATGGGCCCCCTCGACCCCGTCATCATTGATTTTTTCCATCAGTATCAAATAACCCTAGGCCAAATCCATCCTTCATTTTGGCGAATTGTGATTCTGTTCCGATTCTTCGTGAGCAAAGTCGAGGGGATGCCTTTCACCCTCGACCACCTCATCAGGTTATACAGCCCCCACCTCTATCGAGGCGGGTTAATAAAACTCCAATGCCAGGCTACCAAAGTGTTGTTTTCGAGCATAGATGAGGACAAAGACCGAGGCTGGATGGGCCGATACGTTCGAGTGAGGACTTTCGACCTAATCCCGGCCGAGAAGATGCCATTTCCCGAGAAATTGAATATGAAGGGTAAGTACAATCCCACTGTTAGCTCTTATTTATTGTTTTGCTCCTTTGCTTCTTCTCATCGATATCCCATTTCGTGATGTAGCGGTCGCTAGGATGCCCGGTACAATTTCTAACCTTAAGAGTTGGGTTCGGGACCTAGCCTCGACCTCTTCGTATGCCGAGCGCTCATGGCGCGATTTATCAAAGGGCCGATGGGAAGCCAAAACGCATGGTAAGCCCCATTTGCCACGTCTTTAATGATTTTATCAAAGCATTTCTTACTTAATTTCCTTTTATACAGGCCTTGGCAAAGATGTTGTTATGAGGACCCTATCTGGTGAGGGGGATACTTCGATCCCGGCACCGAAACCAGCGAAGGACAAAAAGAGAAAAAAGTCCTCACCCTCCGAGGATCCATAACCTAAGAAGAAGGCAGCTTGTAATCCGAGGAAGAACATCATCCTCCTAACAGAAAAGTATGTTCGGCGTCTAAGGGAGGAAGACGAAGAAGTGGAAGAAGACAACTCCGGGTTGGTGGCCCGAGTGGGAATGAGCATCGAGGCCCCAAAGGCCACTGAATGGTGAAGGCTGCAAAGACTCTGTCTCGAGATGATGGGGTCTCGGGAAGGGACTTGGGCGAAGTCCTCGAGGATCAAAGATGCCTCCCACCACACTGAGCCAACGGTGGGTACGGCTGTCGAGGCCCCTCGAGATGAGGAGAACGCCCCAAGTGATTAACTTGGGGCAATAGAAATCGGAGGCTCCCCGCTGCTCCCCTAGTTTTCTGAGGAGATGATTCAAAAGGATTGGGCCTTGAAGACCCTCTCCATCGAAGGAGCCCACGGAAGGGAGGACCCCTTCCATGATTACTTTACCGGTCTGAGTGACTTGGAGGTCTCGAGGAAGGACTTGGGCGAGGCATCTAACCTTTTCACTGAAGCGCAGCAAGCTCTGAATCGGGTAAGCCTTAGCTCCCCTTGTTGGTATTACCTTTGTGTTTATTTTTCTCTTTTTGTCTGACTTCTTTTCTTCTTTCTACATAGGCCTCAGCGCTTCACCGAGAAGCATTCAGTCTCGAGCCGAGCTGAGTCGGTACAAGGCTGACATTCAAAGACTTACCGAGGAGAGGAATTCCCTCAACCTTCTCATTAAACAAAAAAAAGAACATATCAAGGACCTCCGAGCCGAATTGGCCACGACTCACAAAGATCGGACCAACCTGATCGAGAAGGTAATGAAAATCTTAAAAGCTCATGGGCTCGATTCGGGAACGGTGGCTAATTCGATCTCACAGTTGCATCAGAAGGTCGAGAGGATTAAGTAGCTCCGCGAGGAGGTCAACATGATAAAGGCGGAGTCCTTAGGGTGGAAAGAAGGTATGGACCACTTTGCTGCAGAAAAAAAAAACTGCTCGAGCCCAATTATCATCGACCAAAAGTCAGCTTCAACGTATGAAGGAGAAGAGCTCGGCTCAAGTAAGGAAAATAGAGGAGCTCGAGGCTCGGTTGGCTTCCGAACTTGCCAAGGCCAAATCTGAAGCTGAAAAGGCAAAGGTCGAGGCAGATGCGATCGTGGCCGTCTACCAGGCCGATGCTGAAGCCGCTCAAGTCCAAGCGAGAAAGGCAGTCGGGACTTCACAAACTCGAGCATATTGGATTGCCGAACTCGCCAAATTCCAATCTCGGAGGGAAGCCCTCGAAGAGATCCATGCTCGAGGTTTCGATCTTATCAATGAGATAGTAAAGGCTAGAGAGCATGAAGCTGAAGATGGAGCGCTGGCCACTTCCGATGATGATGATGATGATGGCAGCAAGAGCGGGTCCAAGAATGGGGAGGACCTCGATAGAGAAGAAGCTTCCCCAGGAGAAGATCAGAACCTTAGGATTTTTCACTTTTGATCTTTTGTATAAGATCCTGATCTGACCTTGTAAATATTATCTTATATATAAAGATCTCTTTCCTTTCCGACTTGTCTTTATTTCATTTATGCTTTGTGAAAATTTTGTTTTATTTATGCCTTATGAAAATTTTGTTCATAAGTTCGAGGCTTAGGCAATTTGATCAAAGCCGAACTAGTGTAGTTTTTATAATCGAGTGAGTACATGCTCGAACTCGGAGTAGGGTGACCCTTAGGTTTTAATTGAGTGAGGATGATTTCTCAAAAATAAACTAGCCCTTTAGGCTCTTGAATTAGGCTGATACGACCATAGCAAAAAGAATGGCTTTCTCCCCCTTTTCGGCTTGAAAAGTTTATTGTTTAATCATATAAATTTTGTTGTTCCTTAGCACTAAATAAAGGATTTGCTCGAGAATTCGAACGGTTCCGTACCCATTAGGATTTTCAAGGGTCGATATTATCGAAACCCTTTGTTTCGTAATGCCTTAGCATAAAATAAAGAATTTGTTCGAGAGTTCGAATGACTTTGTACCCATTAGGGTTTTCGAAGGGTCGATATTATCAAGACCCTTAGAAATTTAGCCAAGGGTAGCCTTTTTAACCGGTTCGTGAAAATATTCGAAGGCTTGTTTAATAACGAAAATCGGACGTCTCCGAACCGTGTTAATTTGGCCGTAGCCTTTAACTTGGGATTTGCCTTTTGGGCTTGTTCCCCTGTTATACTTCAAACTTGTTCGAAGTATCAGTTCCCGAGTGGGGTGGCCGTGGCCTATAAAATCGAGGATTGCCTTTTTAAGGTCTTACGATTTCGAGGTTTAGTAATTCGATCATGTCAATTTTTTTGGACGGCAGTCCCCGAGTATCGGGTAAATTGTTTGAAGTTCAGTTGTGATCGGCCCTTAAGCCAATTTCCACAATAGATCATAAGTAGGAAATTGAAAAGTATAAATTTTTCTGAAGCATGGAACATCTGGTAAGGAAAAATACTTCTTTCAATAGATTATACATGCGTACGTGTTTTGCCATTAGGGTTCGAGTAATGTACATGGACACGGTTCATTTGACCGTTTGGTCCTCTACAAAATTTACCTATCGAGACCCTATCGACATGAAGTATTTTCCTTGTAACTATCCGAAGGTGATGCCCACCAGTATTTGAGGTTGATTGTAAAGGAGCCTC